GATATTGACAGAGAATTTTCATAAAACACTGTTGGCTTCATGATCAAATGAGAGTGAATCATGTCAAGTACAGCTTTCTATAAGGACAAGCTTTTTCATCCTTACTACTCTGTGGTTTTCTCAAGCCTGTATGCTGATTATCTGTCTCTCCGGTGGACTTCTTTGATGAAATTGATAGAAATATTTGCTTTCAAGTGTCCGTCAACCCCATACTCCATCCTGGCCCCAAACCAATAAGCTACATTTGAAAATAGTTTGAGATATCCTTCACAGTATTGGTATTTCTTGATGTTTCATTCTTTCCCTAAGAACCTAAATAGCAATGCCATTATTCTGTAGGATTTTTTTCATGCTTCCCCCATTCCTAATCTCTTTGTGAATGAGAACCATACATCAGCACAAATCCAGAGGCTTGATTCTCCATCTGATTAACGGACTCTTGCCAGCATGATGCACTAAACACAGCGAAGCTAGAAGAGCAGAGCAGTAAAATCAGATGAAGACATGTTAGGATGTAATATTACTTACTCTCTGTGCGCATGGTCTAAAAATCACAGCCAGAAATATTCTTGCCCTTTGAGTCTGCTTTACAATTGCTCACTGCCTCTCTAATTCTCTCTCTCTCCCTCTCTCTCTCTTTTCAACTCAGAAACCAATATGTCTTTCCAGTGCCTAAGAACTGCACATAAGCATAGTGCAAATAAGTAGGAAGCCACAGATGTCGGTCATGCACTTTTAGATACACTACAGAACTTTCAGACAGTGTGAACTCAGGAAACTTTTTTTCTGACAGTGATCTCCTACTTACTGGAAGTTAGGCCCTAGAGGCAATACAACAGTGATTTCTATATGCTCAGTACGTGCAATTAGACCCCTGAAGCAAAGACTTTAAAAAGCAGGCTGTAAGATGCTCATATATCTTTATTAAACCTATTTGCCAACTAGATACACTTTTCTAGTAATTTTTAAATTTTAAAGTCTCTCTCTTTCTTTTTTCCCCCCTCAGCCAAGGAGGAAAAACAAAATGTCTGGGCACTAAAAGCTTAGGTATAACAATGTTATTTTTTTTCTGTCTCTCAAGATTAAATGCAATTTCATCCATTTAGCGATACTATGATTGTGGCTGCATTAGATAATGCTGCTAGAGAGATGTAAAGAGAAACTAAGTATAATGAGGTAACAATTTATTTTCACTCTTTCTCTAAGTTAGAAATTCCCCGTACATTCAAATGAACAATGAAAATAATTACAAAATTGTCTCCTGAAATGGAAATAGATTTTATTTCCAAGCATTAGCAATTTCTTGTTATTTTTCAAACTCAGCCTCTAAGCCTCTTAAAGCTTCTTGGTGACTAAGTATTGCAGGCGAATATTAATCTGTGGTTTGGTTTCAGAGTTCACCACCAGAAAAGAGGGATAGGGGACTTTAGCTGTGACATTGTTCAAGAAGGGAGGCGGGGACTCAAAGTTAGAATTACACTTCCTGATGAGGTTGTAGGAAGTAGGGAAGAAGGAAGCTAGTTTTCACAAAAGGAACTTACATTTATATTACATGTAAAATAGATGAGAGTCATTCTGAATTTTGTTATATTTGTGGCAAAGTTTGCCTTCTGAAATTCCAGTTGGTACTCGCATCTTAAAACGTGGTTTTCCCTGACAGCTTAGATCATTCCTAACTTAGGGAAAATTTTTTTTATGGTGGAACAGGTAAAGCTTAGCCCCTTTTTAAAGAGCCTAGCATTGGGGATGTTATTTTAAGATTAGTAATGAATTTTTTCAGTATCTTCCAGTCACCTTTGCAAGTTGCAGGTAGTCTTAGAAGGAAAAGCCATGGGGTCCTAAATGTAACAGAAAAACTGTCCTCCTGTCCTCACTCAGAATGTTCGGCTGGCTTTTGCTCATCTGCACTCCCCCCCCCCCCCCCCCGCCACCAGCCCCTTCCCCCAAGCAAGCAATATCCTGTGGCTTCAGAGGAAGCATCTATAGATTTTCCTTTATTCAACTCCAAGATTTGAAAGCTTTTTCCCTTTTTTTGTTAACCAAGGAATAAAAATGTTTTAGCTCTTAAAGGTGCAAAGCAGTTTCATTCTCACGCAGTACAATGTTCTTCCTATTATAGTTTGTGGATGTTAAATAGTAGATTGCAATTCAATTTTAATACTTTTGGAGTTTTTTTTTTTTTTTTTGAGTTGGAGTCTCACTCTGTCGCCCAGACTGGAGTGCAGCGGCCGCTCCCGGCCACCGCAGCCTCGACCTACTGGGCTCCAGTGATCCTTCCGCCTCAGCCTTCCGAGTAGCCGGAATTACAGGCACGCTGCTACCATGCCCGGCTAAATTTTTGATTTATGGTAGAGATGAGGTCTCGCCTACCCAGGTGGGTCTCGAATCCCCTGGTTCAGGCAATCCACTCACCTCAGCCTCCCAAAGGCGCGGATTACAGGCTGAGCCTGGCCGGAGTTTTTTGTTTTTGTTTTTTTTTTGAGTTGGAGTCTCACTCTGTCGCCCAGACTGGAGTGCAGTGGCCGCTCCCGGCCACCGCAGTCTTGACCTGCTGGGATTCAGTGATTCTTCTGCCTCAGCCTTCC